CTGCCTCGGCCTCCCAAAGTGCTGGGATTACAGGCGTGAGTCACCATGCCCAGCCAGACATTTTTTATTCTAACCAGATGGCTTGCTTATATCTTTGGTGCTTCCTACATCAGTTTTTTTTTTGTTTTTTTTTTTTTTAAGTTAGCCTCTGGGACAAAAGAAAAGCACATATGGTTTTCTCTCTCCAGGTTCAACAAACACTTTTCTGGCATGCTAACTGCTTCTCACCAAGGGAGCAACCACGTTAAGCATGCCAGCGTGAGAACTGACAACACAAACAAAGGCAACACACCCATGGAATGTCACTGTGTGTGCCTTGTGGCAATCCAGTCGCAAATGAACATCTAGGGGCAAAGCTCCAAATGCCTCTGTGTGCTTGTGTTGTCACTGACTCCTCAAACAGTCCTGTGAGCTCTGTTATTACCGCCGTACCCATTCCACAGCTGCAGGAGGCACAGCTGAGTCTGTATCATTGACACGTGCAAGGTGCACCAGGAGTAATGGAACTGAGGCCAGGTGTGGTGGCTCATACCTGTAATCCCAGCACATTGGGAGGCCGAGGCGGGTGGATCATCTGACGTCAGAGTTCAAGACCAACCTGGTCAACATAGTGAAACGCTCTCTCTACTAAAAAGATACAAAATTAGCCGGGCATGGTGGTGGGCACCTGTAGTCTCAGCTACTCAGGAGGCTGAGACAGGAGAATCGCTCGAACCCGGGAGGTGGAGGCTATAGTGAACTGCGTGCCCCTGCAGTCCAGCCTGGACAGAGCAAGACTCCGTCTCAAAAAAAAAAAAGAAGTAGTAATGGAATTGAGAATCAAAAACATTCCCAGGTGCAAAATTCTGAGAAATATATAATATTCTAGTCTATGTGATTACAGTATAATTTTTATTATTAACATTTTAGTATATATTAATGCACACATGTGAACATATATACAAATAAACACATATTTCCCCTTAACATAACTAGTAATGCCTTAGAGCAAGGGTTGGCAACTACTCCCTATAGGCCAAATCTGGCCCACTGCTTGTTTTTGTAAATGAAGTTTTATTGAGACAGCCACACTCGTTCATTGATGTATGAAACATGATTGCTTTCATGCTATAACCACAGAGTTGCATAGTTATGACAGAGACCTCATGGCCCACAAAGCAGAAAATTCTTACTCTTTGCCTCTTAACAGAAAAAGTCAGTTCAGCCCTACCCTAGACTTATTCAACCACAATCTTCTACTCATCAAAAAAAGCACAGAAGAGGCTGGGTGCGGTGGCTCACAGCTGTAGTCCCAGCACTTTGGGAGGCCGAGGCAGGCAGACCACCTGAGGTCGGGAGTTCGAGACCAGCCTGACCAACAAGGTGAAACCCTATCTCTACTAAAAATACAAAACTAGCCAGGCATGGTGACAGGTGCCAGTAATCCCAGCTACTCAGGATGCTGAGGCAGGAGAATCACTTGGACCTGAGAGGCGGAGGTTGTAGTGAGCCAAGATCATGCCACTGCACTCCAGCCTGGGCAACAAGAACAAAACTCCAACTAAAAAAAAAAAAAAAGCACAGAAGACTAAGACAGGAAGATGACTAGAGCCCAGGAGTTGGAGACTAGCCTGGCCAACATAGCAAGACCCCACCACTTAAAAAAACACATAAAGTGGCCAGGCGTAGTGGCTCACACCTGTAATCCCAGCATTTTGGGAGGTCACTTGAGCTCAGTAGTTTCAGACCAGTCTGGGCAACATGGTGAGACCCCATCTTTATTAAAAATACAAAAAATTAGCAAAGTGTGGCGATAAATACCTGTAGTTCCACCAAGCCAGGAAGCTGAGTGGGAGGATTGCTTGAGCCTGGGAGGCGACGATTCCAATGAGCTGAGATTACACCACTGCACTCCAGCCTGAGTGACAGAGTGAACTCCTGTCTCAAAAATAAAAAATAAAAAAATGCATGAACTGGACAGAATTAAAAAGAGAAATAAAAATTATATATCTTTTAGAAAAAGCACGTGGGCATTCCTTGGCGCTCCCTGCACTGTGGACGATCTCTTCTGTGTATCTGCTGTACCCTGGGCTCCTGTCAAGGCAGTCACTCACTAAATTGTAAATGTGTGTTTACTTGTTGGCTTCCCTCCAGACTGTGAGCTCCCTGAGGGCAGGCACTATGGGTTACTCCTGTGAGCATCCCCCAGCACAGTCAAGTAGGTACTTCTTGGTTTTTGGGGTTTTTGTTTTGTTTTGGGACAGGATCTTGCAGTGTCACCTAGGCTAGAGTGTAATAGTGTAAACATGGCTCACTGCAGCTTCAAACTCCTGGACTCTAGAGATCCTCCTGCCTCAGCCTCCCAGGTAGCTGAGACCACAGGTGCATGCCACCACACTCAGCTAAGTTTTTGATTTTTTTGTAGAGATGGAGTCTTGCTGTGTTGCCAGGCTGGTGTTGAACTCCTGGACTCCAGTGATCCTCCCTCCTTGGCCTCCCTAAGTGCTGGAATTACAGGTGTGAGCCACTGTGCCTGGCTGAGTAGATGCTTCTTGACTAAGGTGATTTTTAAGGGAGACAGACAAGGAACAGATTTGTTCAGGGAGACAGACAAGGAACAACTCCTTAGATACAGGTGTGGTGTGGGCAAGCCCAGAGCACCCTGGGAGCTCACAGAGGGGATTGGACTCAGCCCTGGGGAGCAGAACAGGCTTCCTGAGGGAGCTAAGTGCTTAAGCCGATTTCTGAAGGATTAACCAGACAGGGAGAAGGAGAGGCAACAGACACGGATGAAGTATAGCTCTCAGCAGCCAGTGACATGGGGATTGGACACTTCCTGTCAGTGTTTGGGCGTTTTATGTGTTCGATACTGCAGAGGTTACAACTGCGGACTGGTGACTGAACTCTAACCAGTGTGGAACCGCTACAGCCTGGTGTGTTTGAAGTTGTTTATTCCAGGCCATAGCTGCTTATTAGCAATTCCATAGCTTTAGGAGTGCAGTCGTCCCTCAGTATTCATGGGGCATTGGTTCCTGAAGATACAAATCCACAGGTACTCAAGTCCTTGATAGAAAATGGTGTAGTATTTGCGTATAACCTATGCACACCCTCCCATATACTTTAAATCATCTCTAGATTTCTTATACTCCCTAATACAATGTGAATGCCATGTAAAAAGTTGTTATATTGTATTGCTTAGGAAATAATGGCAGAAAAGCAATCTGTACATGCTCGGTACAAATATAATCATCTTTTTTCCCCCAAAATATTTTCTATCTGTGGTTGGTTGAATCCACGAATGTGGAACCCGTGGATATGGATTGTTCACTGTATTTCCCTGTCTTAAGATCTGAGTTGTACAGTTTAAAGGTCAATTTTCAAGCCAAAAAGCAGGACATAATGAAAGGAAAACATACAAATGTTGGTAAATTTGTATGTATAAATACTTGGTGGTATCTGGTCCCTGAAATCTTTGGCCTTGACTTAATGTCTGTTATCAAGAAGCTGGAGATGCGAGCCTGGCCAACATGTTGAAACCCTGTCTCTACTAAAAATATATCGATCAGCCAGGCGTGGTGGTGCTTGCCTGTAATCCCAGCTACTCGGGAGCCTGCGGCAGGAGAATCGCTTGAACCTGGGAGGCATAGGTTGCAATGAGTCGAGATTGTGCCACTGCACTTCAGCCTGGGCCACGGAGTGAGACTCCATCACACACACACAAAAAAGAAGAAGCTGGAGGTGACAAAAATGACACATTTAGAAAAAAAAAATCCTTCAGATAAAACCCAGTGATGTTCATCAATGGATAAGCAAAATATGATCTGTCCATACAACGCAATATCATTCAGCTGTGGATAGGAAGGAGGTTCTGATGCATGCTACCACTTGGATAACTGAGAACATTCTGCTAAGCGAAAGGCGCCAGACACAAATGTCACAGGTTGTACGATTCTGCATATATGAAATATCCAGGATAGGTAAGTCCACAGAGAGACTGAAGATTGGTGGCTGCCAGGGGCTGGGAAGAAAGAGGAAGCAGGGATCAAGTAACTGCTTAATGCATATGGGCTTCCTTCCGGTTTGTGGCCACTTAGCATGGTGAATGCGCTAGATACCATTGAATTGTTTGCTTAAAAATGGTTCACTCAGAGGGGCGTGCTCACACCTGTAATCCCAGCACTTTGGGAGGCCGAGGTGGGCGGATCACCTGACACCAGAAGTTTGAGACCAGCCTGGCCAACGTGGTAAAACCCTGTCTCTACTGAAAATACAAAATTGGCCGGTCGCGGTGGCAAGTGCCTGTAATCCCAGCTACTCTGAAGGTTGAGGGAGGAGAATCACTTGAACCCGGGAGATGGAGGCTGCAGTGAGCTGTGATCGTCCCACTGCACTCCAGCCTGGGCAACAGGAGCAAAACTCCATCTCAAAAAGAAAAAAAAATTCACTTGATGTTATGTCAAAGTGCTTCCATTCTTTTTGCCTCAATTTTAAAATAATGTTTTAGGAATAAAAAGGAGATGTAAATATCATTTTGTTGACAGTTAAACCTTTACAATAATAATGATGTTTTGCATTTTGAAAAACTGATGAAACAAAACCCAGTGATGCGCAGGAAGGCCTAGTGGTTCTGAGCGAGCTGCGGGGACTCCTGCAGCCCCGCCAGGGCGCACGGACGGATGACGCACCTGACCGCTTTCTTGTTGCCTGTTTCTCTGACAGAGGTGGAGAAGACCCGGTGCCAGCATGAGCGAGAACACATTCTCGGCGCAGCGGCGGCGGCCGACCCACAGCGACCCATTCCTCTGGGACTGTTCGTTCCTGAGTGCGATGAGCACGGGCACTACGCACCCACCCAGTGCCACGGCAGCACCGGCTACTGCTGGTGTGTGGATCGCGACGGCCGCGAGGTGGAGGGCACCAGGACCAGGCCCGGGATGACGCCCCCGTGTAAGTGGATGCAGGCTGTGTGTGGACGTGGGCCTGAGAAGGGCCTCGGGGAGCGGAATTGCTGAACACGCCCTTGGCTCTTCTGCTGGCCCTGAAGCTTGAGCGGCTCCATTGGCTCCAACCCCACTTCCTCCCTGTGCACCCTCTCCCCTCTCCTCACCCGCCCCGCTCCTCCCGTCCTTCCTCTCCTCCTCATCCTCCCTGTCCTACCCTCTTCTTTCTCTTTCCCCACGCCCCCACACACGTGTAGGGTGTAAATACCAGGGGGCCTGCCACAGCAGTCCCCTTAGTGGTAGCAGAGAGGCTGTGTGTGCTCCGGGTTCTCCAGAAGAACTCTCTGCCAAGGGAGGCCTGGTGGTGGAATGTTCCTGCGTGGAATGTTCCTGCGTGGAATGTTCCTGCGTGGAATGTTCCTGCGCTGGAATACGGCAGGGATGGTGGGGACCAACCTGAACCCTTCCCCAGGGCTGGGTCCCAGGCGGTGGGACCTGTGCGCACCCTTGCAAAGCCTGCCTCCTTCAGTCGCGCCCTGGGGCCTTTAGTTACTTGGGTCGATTTTCCAATCCAAGGAACAAACAGCCGCAAAGCTTTCTGCATGAGCTGGTTCTAAGACCGTCACCAGAGGCAGTGGGAAGCTGCCGTCCTGGGGGCCACGGGCCCTGTGTGAGGCCCAGCCTGGTGGCTGTGTGACTCTGGACAGACACCTTCCCTAGCCTCAGGGTCCTCAGCCTCCACCTCAAACATGAGGCAAAATTACCCCGGGAATGATTCCCAGCTCTAAAATTCTGCTTCTGTTGCAAATGTAGAAATTGGTCATTGTCACAAATTACCAAAAAAGAATGTAATGAATCTTTGAATCTCCACTCATAATTTAACTAATAATCATAGATTGATCTCTTATCAAATATTTCCCCAAACCTGCTAAGAAACAGTAAAACAGTTACTCACAAACTTCACTCACTCACGCAGCCCCCATTTACTGAGGGGCCAGTGCTGTGGTCGGTACTAGGATATCAAGAGGAAAGTCACAATTCTGGGCCCCCAAGCACCAGAAAGGACGGTGAATAAACAGGAACAGTGTAGGGAGGTGAGTGTTAGCAGACAGCGGACAGGGGCCAGGGAGCCGGGGAGGAATCCTGGCTTGTGTGGGGCGGTGGGCTCATGGGTGAGGCTTTCCAGAAGCAACACCATGTGAGCCACGTTTCTAAACCTGCATATTGGTCATGAGGGCAACGAGGAGCCTGGGATGGGTTTGGAGCAGGTGCCCACGTGAAGCAGGTTTTAGTTCTAGAATATCACTGGCTTGGGGGGTGGAAGCGGAGATGCAGGCATGACAGTCCCTGGCAGGGGGAGGTGAAGGCGGTTGCTGTACTTACGATGAATCCAGGTGAGAAACGGATGGATTTTAGAGTTATGAAAGAGGTTGACCAGACTGGTTTATGTCACCGATTGGGTGTAATAGGCAAGATAGACAAGGGAAAGTAACCTTGGGGACAACCTTGCCCAGCTCTCACTGTAGAGAGCAGGAGACCAGGCCTGGGAAGATCCGTGTCCTGTGCACACAGCGAGTGAGTGGGCGGGGCCAGGACAGAGCCCGATCAGCCCTCCTGGCCCTCCTTACCCTGCAGCACAGCTGTCTGGCTCCTCCTGGGTTGTGTCTTATCAAGTGGATCAAGGAGCCGGGCCAGGGGTCAAGATCAGCAGATAGGAAGGCAAGCCTGATTCCAAGGGAAAAGGAGCCCCTGGCCATCATTTTTTCTTGAAAGCCCACAAGCATCATGCTCTTGCTTGTCAGGCCCCGGCCTGTCCCATCCCTGTGGCACTGGGACAGGGTGCACTGTATGAGGCAAACTTATTTTATGGCTCCTGCAGCATGAAAAAGCCCCACAGCTTGTACTACGGCATGGCTCCCTGTGGATGCCGTGTGTGTTGTGCTACCACTGGTGCTGGTGCTGCTCTTACTTGGTTCACCCCTCTCATGCCAGTGCCCAAAGCAGAGCATGAGTAGCCAAGCTTTTCTATTAAGAGGGAGGCTAGCTGGGCACGGTGGCTCACACCTGTAATCCTAACACTTTGGGAGACGTAGGTGGGCAGATCCCTTGAGGTCAGGAGTTTGAGACAAGCCTAGCCAACATAGTGAAATGCTGTCTCTACTAAAAATACAAAAATTAAGTGGGTATGGTGGTGCATGCCTGTGATCCCAGCTACTCAGGGGGCTGAGGCACAAGAATTGCTTGAACCAGGTGGGCAGAGGTTGCAGTGAGCCGGGATCACGTCCATCCAGCCTGGGCAACAGAGCAAGACTCGTCTCAAAAAAAAAAAAAAAAAAAAAAAAAGAAAAAGAAGAGAAAAGAGGGAGGCCAAGCCATTTTTTTTTCACATGACCTTTAATGCTCTGCATTACCTTCATCAGTGCCCTTTGAATGACTGAGGGCTTTCTACTTCTGGTGCTTTCAGATATAAAATGGGCGTTGTGTGGCTGTGGCAGTTTGTGGTGCCATGAAGGTGATGTGAGCTGATATGTAGGTGTGTGTATGTGTGTGCATGTATGTGGGTGTGGGTGTGTGCACCTATGTGTTCCTGGTGCACACGGACCTTGCTCACTGACCCCTTCTGCCATGCAGGTCTGAGTACAGTGGCTCCCCCGATTCACCAAGGGCCCGCAGTGCCTACTGCCGTGATCCCCTTGCCCCCCGGCACACATTTACTCTTTGCCCAGACTGGGAAGATTGAGCGCCTACCCCTGGAGGGAAATACCATGAGGAAGACAGAAGCGAAGGTGCTCCTTCATGTCCCGGTGAGTGCTGGCTGATTGTACGTGGTGGCAGCTCCTGCTTCAGGGACCTGGAGAAACAAGCAGGACGAGGTCAGATCAGGACTCCAGGCTCAACCCTGGAACCATGGGCGCTCACTCATTCCATGTGATCCCAGGTGACCATGTCTAGATGGGGGCCACTGTACTGCTGAGCTGCCTCGGAGGCTCACAGTAAGATGGGCACAGATGTGGCTGGGATTACAGGCGCCCACCACCATGCCCAGCTCCGTTTTGTATTTTTAGTAGAAATGGGGTTTCACCATGTTGGCCAGGCTGGCCTCGAACTCCTCACCTTGGGTGATCCACCCGCCTCAGCCTCCCAAAGTGCTGGGATTACAGGCATGAGCCACTGCGCCCGGCCACTGTTTTTGTTTTTTAATGATAGCCATTGTAACGGGTGTGAAGTGGTCTTGATTTGCATTTTCCTAATAATTTATAACATTGAACATCTTTTCATGTACTTATTGGTCACTTGTATATTTCTTTGGAGAAATGTCTACTTAAATCCTTTTGCCTATTTTTAGATCTGTTTTTTGGTTGTTGAGTTGTGGAAATTCTTTATACATTCTGGATATTAACCCTTTAAAAGATACATGGTTTGCATTATTTTCTCCCATTCCATAGGTTGTGTTTTCACTCTCTCAACTGTGTCCTATGATGCACAGAAATTTTTAATTTTGATGTAGTTCAATTTACCTATTTTTTTGTTGTTGTTGCCTATGCTTTTGGTGTCATATCCAAGAAATCGTTGCCAAATCCAACGTGATAAGGTTTCCCCCCTGGCTTTCTTCTGAGTTTTATAAGTGTGCTCTTACCTTTAGGTCTTGGATTCATTTTCAGTTAATTTTGAATGTGGTATAAGGTAAGAGTCGCTATCCTTTTGGACTTGACCCATTAAGGAGGAAGTATGTGCTCATCCTCTGATTTCCCAGTAAAAGATCATCCTGGCCCACCACTTCCTTGTCCGGAGAGCCTCCCTCTTGAGTCCTTCCCTGGCTTCGTAATGCCTGGTACTGTGTTCACGGCCAAGTACCCACTCCCAGGGTTTCTTGTAACTGAACAATTCAGTGTTTCCAGGCTACTGACAGAATCGAACCTCACCACATGCTGAGATCATACAGTCTGCCAGCTTCCTCCTGAGCTTCTCATGGGCAGCATCTAAAGAAAGGAACTCCTCACTGTCTGATCAAGGGAAAAGTTTGTGCTTCTGTTTTGTTTTTAACTTTTTATTTTGAAATAATTAGGGCCACAGGAAGTTATAAAGGCATACAGAGAGGTTCTGTATACCTTTCACCTGGTTTCTCGCATTGGCTCAATTTTACATAAGTATAAATGCCTATCGTTTTAAAATACTTTAATTTGTAAGAGACCTCAACAAGACTTTTCCAAATCAACCTGTGAGCAAGTGGCTTTTTTTTATTTTTTTTTTGGGTTTTTTTTTTTTTTTTTTTGGCTTTGTTGCTTTGGATAATTTAAGTAACTTAGCGTTCTTTCTAGGTTGGAGTCTTGTCTAAATATCACCATAGTTCATCATACATAATGAGCACCAAGTAAATACTCATTAATGAATTACAGGCAGGTAATAGATTCGCCTCTTCTGAGGAGAGGTTGGCTTACTCAGAGCTAACTCTCAGTGGCTTTTCAAACTGAAGTATAGCACAGTAGATTTTCATGAAACTCAAATTACAAGTAAAATGCTACTCAATTTTGCTTCTTCCAGTCCTTTTTTGTTTCACTTTCTTAAGAACTGATGTGTGGAAAGGGACTCTGGGCGTGTTTGCTGAAGGAAACGTTCTCGTTCCTTAGTGCCATGGAGAGCCAGAGAAGTTGATGAGCATGGGATGCTTTAAAAGAGGAGGTGCCTATAGTTGGAGCCTGAGCATTTGGTTGTGATAGTTTAAGAGCGTGAATGCCTTAAAAGTGCACAGCATTGGCCAGGCGCAGTGGCTCACATCCGTAATCTCAGGACTTTGAAATGTCCACGCAAGTGGATTAATTGAGCTCAGGAGTTCAAGACCAGCCTGGGCAACATGGTGGAACCCCATCTGTACAAAAAACAGAAAAATTAATTGGGTGTGGTGGCGCATACCTGTAGTCCCCAGCTACTCTGGAGGCTGGGAAGACTGTTTGTATTTAACCTACCTTATCCCGTCATTTACTTGGGTCTTTTGTCATTTCATGCTGCAATGTTTTGTAGTGTTCAGTGTGGAATCTTGCATATTTAAAAATGTTTATCCTTCTATATTTTCTGTTTTTTCGATGTTACCACAATTATTAAGGTTTATTTTTTATATTTTGCTAGTATATAGAAAAGTAATTTTATATTTATTTTGTTTCTTGCACCCTTGCTAGATTCACTTATCGATTGTAGTAGTTTTTTAGATTCCCCATGACTTTCTATGTAAACAACCATATTATCTTAGAATAGAGTGATTTTACTTCTTTCATTTCAATATTCATGCCTTTTATTTCTTTTTCTTTATCACCTTCAGATAGGCAAAGATTTCTTAGTATTCAAAAAACATTAGCTATAAAAGGAAAAAACAATAAACTAGATTTACTAAACATTAAAAACTTTTGCTCTCCCAAACACTATTAGGAAAATGAGGCCGGGCGTGGTGGCTCACACCTGTAATCCAAGCACTTTGGAGGCCAAGATGGGTGGATCACCTGAGGTTGGGAGTTCAAGACCAGCCTGACCAACATGGTGAAACCCCGTCTTTTAAAAAGAAAAAGAATATGAAAGCACTAACTACATACTGAGAAGAAATAATATGTGGGTGCAGTGGCTAACGCCGGTATTACCAGCACTTTGGGAGGCTGAGTCAGATGGATTGCTTGAGCCAGGAGTTTGAGGCCAGCATGGGCAAGACAGTGAGACCCTGTTGCTACAAAAAGTTTTAAGAATTAACTAGGCATGGTGGCACATGCCTGCAGTCCCACCTACTCAAGGGTCTGAGGAAGAGGATCACTTGAGCCCAGGAGGCTGAGGCTGCAGTGAGCAGTAATCACGCCACTACACTTCAGCCTGGGCAAGAGATCCTGTCTCAAAAAATACATATTTATGCATACACACACACACACACACACACACACACACACACACACACACACACA